GCCTAATTAGTTTGTTTTATTTCACAATATCAGTCTTGTCGGGGCTAAAATTAGCCTATATACATTAGCTATAGCATTACACTAGCATAAAAATAATAATAGCCATTATTATTATTATTATGGATATTTTGTCATAACAGTGAAGTAGGTTATTATTGATAACAGCCAGGCTATAGTCTTCCAGCCTAACATAGCCTAACTGTGGCAGATTGAATGACAGCAGTTGTTGTATTGGAGGTGTCCACCCGGCTTTTTACGAACAGGAATTTTAGCTTAGCAATAGAATATAAAAACAACTAGAACAAAAGTTGCTAGGCAACAGTGACGTGCATCTTCAACCACGGGAAAAAAGTCGCAAAAGCAGAAATTATACACCTTCTGTAATGCGAACGGTCAATTTGACCGCTTTGGCCATTCAAGGTAGAAATACTCAGAACTCTTTTGTGTTTTGTAATTTTAATAAAATTACAATGTTATAATAAAATATTCACACATTTAGGAAAAGTCAGGGTTTTATAGTTATATGGGTTTTATTTCAACAAAGTTGTTACATTTTAAAATTTAAAAACGGTCAAAATGACTGCCTTGGTAGTTCTAGTGTTAAGTAATGCGTAAATTTGCAGACGTGCATGTTGGAGCTACTGCAAGATGTGCATTTGTGGTTAAAAAGTATATAAATGTTGTTGTTGTTGTTTTTTTTAGAAAATTACTGATTGTTTAGCTAGATAAGACCCCTATTCCTCGGCTGGGATCGTGTAGAGCCCTTTAAAGCTGCATTGAAATTGCAATTTGACCTTCAGCCCTTTGGCCACCATTGAAGTCCATTATTGAGAAAAATCCTGGAATGTTTTCCTCAAAAACCTTAATTTCTTTGCGACTAAAGACAGAAAGACATAAACATCTTTGAGGACATGGGGGTGAGTAAATGATCAGGAATTTTTTATTCTGGAAGTGAACTACTCCTTTAAAGGGGTACAGGGATTTTGAGATGCTGACTTGAGAAGATATCTTCTGCTCAGACATCAGAGGTATTTTTAGAGTGAGGGTTACTGCAGAAGGGGTCATGAGGTCAGTTTGAAGGATGGATGAATGTGAAGAAGATGACACGATCCTTCCAAGCTTCCCTTTCGAGTCCCAGTACTCTTTACAGTGTCTTCCGTTTGCTCTGTTCAACGTTCTGACCCATGCTCAAGTGCTCATCATGTAATCTCTTGGACAGTTTTGGGGAGTGTATGTGTACATTTATGCAAATCCACCTTATATACTGTTCCAGTCCACTGATTTGATTGGACAAGAGTGTTGAGTTACTGTCATGTAGAAATACTGCCTTCACGTTTCCTGGATTTTACTTTTCACTATGGAAATCATAATTTATGTGATTTACAAGTGGTTTTTGTTGGAATAACATTGATTTCATGTATTTCTTTTTCACTTTCATATTTCCACTACTGTTCAAACGTTTAGGGTCAGTTAGTACTTTTATTCAGCAAGGACTCAGTCATCAAACATGACTGTAAAGACATTTATAATGTTATAAAAGATTTCAATGTCAAATTAATGCTGTTGTTTTGACATTTGTGTTCATCAAATAATCATTCAGTGCGACACCAGTTCACCTTTGTATTGAACATTCAAATCAGCAGTGAGCACAGGACAGTCTCTTTGTGCCTTTCAATCCTAAGAACATGGAGGCCTGTTGATTAGTTCAGGGGGTTTTAAATGTTTAGCTGCCAAGAGTGCCCAGATATAATGATCCCCTTGCAAGCTGTTATTTCTTATGTTTAAAAACTTAAAAAATGTATATGTAAAATATTAAGTATGAATTTTTATCCAAAATGTAGAAATTGGCTTCTGAATTGTCATTTTGTTAAATTACGTTAAGAAATAGTAAATTGTGAAATATTATTTGTAAAATATTTGCTTTTTGGTAGTTGACAATGTATGAGTAAACATCACGTTTCCTGGATTTTACTTTTCACTATGGAAATCATAATTTATGTGATTTACAAGTGGTTTTTGTTGGAATAACATTGATTTCATGTATTTCTTTTTCACTTTCATATTTCCACTACTGTTCAAACGTTTAGGGTCAGTTAGTACTTTTATTCAGCAAGGACTCAGTCATCAAACATGACTGTAAAGACATTTATAATGTTATAAAAGATTTCAATGTCAAATTAATGCTGTTGTTTTGACATTTGTGTTCATCAAATAATCATTCAGTGCCACATCATCCTTCAGAAATCATTCTAATATGCTGATTTGGTGCTCAAGAAACATTTCTTATTCACAGGATATAATTACAATTTAAAATATATTCAAATCGAAAATATTTATTTAAAATTGTAATAATATTTCACAGTATTACTGTTTTACAGCATTTTTGATCAAATAAATGCAGCCTTAGTGAACATAAGATAATTTTTTCAGAAACAGTAGTGTATTTTTCTCTTTTTCACTTCCCAACAAAGAAAGGATTTTTTTTTTGTAAGAATACAGTAAATTGAGAGCAAAAGATGTGCATTAGTTGTGTAAGTAAAGCTTAATTGGTGTATTTGATCGTTCTCATGGTGCCACAGAGAATAAAATGTGGTTTAGTTGCATAAACCTGCCGCCTTATATTTTCGGGCTAGTTTGATCCTTTTTCAGCAGTACATAAAATGTAAGCAATCAAAATTCTCCAGTCAATATTCACATTTTCAACAGAAAACATCCTCCCGATGGTTGTTATTACTTTGTGGTGGCGTTCCTGTATGCCGAATATGATAATTGTGTCATGACTTGAAGGCAGTGAAAGCTAGACATTGGACTCTTTCTATTGAGGTCTTGTTTTCCCTCATCTTTTCTCTTGCCCTCCTCAGCTTTGCTTCTCTTTCACTTTTCTGTTGATCTAGAAATGGCCTCTCTGAAGTGAGCCTTCATTCACATGGTGTGTGAGGACTCTACCCCCCACCGCCGTCTTGTGTCTCAGGCTTGTGTTTTTAGTTACTGTTGCTAAGCAGGGCCAAGGGCCTCTATGTTTTTTGCGAACGTAGCGAGAGAGAGACACACAGAGAGGACAGGGTACATTTGCAATCAGCAATTAGCATTTTGGGAACACCTGCATCCACTAAACAAGCCCACTGGCCCTTAAAATCCCTCTGCTGTTTTGGAGTTTGTACCTGTACACCACACGCACACACACACACACACACACACACACACACACACAGGGACACCAGTTCACCTTTGTATTGAACATTCAAATCAGCAGTGAGCACAGGACAGTCTCTTTGTGCCTTTCAATCCTAAGAACATGGAGGCCTGTTGATTAGTTCAGGGGGTTTTAAATGTTTAGCTGCCAAGAGTGCCCAGATATAATGATCCCCTTGCAAGCTGTTATTTCTTATGTTTAAAAACTTAAAAAAATGTATATGTAAAATATTAAGTATGAATTTTTCTCCAAAATGTAGAAATTGGCTTCTGAATTGTCATTTTGTTAAATTACGTTAAGAAATAATAAATTGTGAAATATTATTTGTAAAATATTTGCTTTTTGGTAGTTGACAATGTATGAGTAAACACTTATATATGATGTATATTTTTATATATTTATATAATATAAAATTATTACTTTAAAATTATTGTAATATTTTTAAACTCATTTAAAAAGATTTTTTGGCATGTTTATTTTAGTCAGTTGGTTAAAAACTAGTGCTGTCAGTAGAATTAAATGATTGCAATTAATTAGTGATTTCTGACCAGTTTTTAGAAAACCAAATGAAATAAGGTAAATGTGAAATTCGTTGCTATTTAGTTGCTAAGGTGTTCTGAGTGCATTTTTTGCATGTTGCTAATGTGGTTCCTGGGGTGTTCTGGGTCAATCACATTCCCTCTTGCTTTCTTTTCCTGTTTCCTCTCTCACTTCCTTGTTAAAATAAAGACTGAATGTAAAAAATAGATTTTTAACATTTTTCCATAGAAAATGTAAACTATGATGCTAGGGTGTTGTGGGTGTCTGCCAGGTTATTTCAGCATGGTTGCTAGAGTGTTTACAGTAGTTGCTATATAGTTGGTCTCAAAAGAGCCGTTGCTATTTAGTTGCTAAGGTGTTCTGAGTGCATTTTTTGCATGTTGCTAATGTGGTTCCTGGGGTGTTCTGGGTCAATCACATTCCCTCTTGCTTTCTTTTCCTGTTTCCTCTCTCACTTCCTTGTTAAAATAAAGACTGAACGTAAAAAATAGATTTTTAACATTTTTCCATAGAAAATGTAAACTATGATGCTAGGGTGTTGTGGGTGTCTGCCAGGTTATTTCAGCATGGTTGCTAGAGTGTTTACAGTAGTTGCTATATAGTTGGTCCACATCAAAAGAGCCTCTCGCACCTGTTTTATCATCCACCAGGTGAAAATCACAAGCCTGATCACTTAGAAAAGAATTAAAGCACCTCTCCTTTCTAAACGGCATGATTTGAGGTATCATTCATGTCTGTAGCACGAGTTACTCGCTGAAGTTTAATATTAGGGTTAGGGGTTTGTTCAAATCTCTAAACCTAAATTTAAGCAATAGGGTTAGGATAATACTGATGCAACATTATTAAAGGTATAGTCCACCCAAAGATGAAAATTCTGTCCTTCTGTAGGTTTCGGGTCCTGCTGACGTCTATAGTATATACAAAAATACTATGGAAGTCAATGGGATCCGAAAGTGGTTAGTGGCAGCATTTTTCAAAATATCTCTCTTCTGTGTTCAATAGAAGAAAGAAATTCATACTTGTTTGGAGTGGCATGATGGTAAATAAATAATGTCATTAATGACTATCCCTTTAGTGTGCATTCCTCTAACTCAAACAGTAAAGCATGGAGCTAGCAACGCAGAGATCATGGATTTGATTCCCAAGGAATTCCCAATCCGATGTATGTTGCTTTGGATAAAAGCATCTGCCAAGTGCTAATTGTTAGTGTAGATAAAAAAGAATAAGCACAGTGATTCCTAACATCTCTGTCTTTATGTCTCTGCAGGTCTACACACAACGAAATGGAGAAGAACAGGTATGTCCATATAACCTTCATGGCATTGTCACAGTCATTAGTTCTTATCTGTAAACTTGCAGGATTATACCTCATTACATCCTTACTGATTAGATTAATATTAAACTTCTGTAATTGAAAGCTAAACAACCAGGGAATGTGACCAAATGGCTAGTTTTAGTCTTTTTGGAGCCTTTTCCACTAGCACCCAGATAATGCTTAGAGAGAAGTATTAAGGTCAGTCAATCGGATGATGTATCCATTCAGCTTTGACCTAGAGATAAACCTTCAATAAATGGGTGACCTGAAATTTAGAACGAGAAAGATCTCGCTAATGAACCAGGCTTAATGTCTCTGTCACCAGCGCTCTATGGTTTGGGTAGCACGCACACTGAGCTCAGCTTGCCGAAGGCGCTGAATAATACATGCTGTCAGGCTTAGCAATGAGCAAAACCAGGGTGTCTGGACTTTGACTTTTAAACTCCTAACAATGCATTCAGCTTAAGTCGCACTACACTCCCATTCGTGCTTGGCAAAGTGTGTCTCATTCTGTGTACATCAGACCAAACTTGTCCAAAGCTCAGAGGTCACAGTGCTCCGGACAACTGAGCCGCTGTTCATTTCTGAAGGGCGGCTTTCATCTCCTGTTTAGAAAAAAATCCAGCCAAAGAAGGAAAGCGAGGCTCCCCATGTCTCTGCTTTTGTTTCAAAATGGAGTCCAGGGCTGATATTCATAAAGCTACTTGAGTGGGAGTGCATTTGTGATGCAGATTTGAATAAATGGGCAACATGTCTGATGTGAAACCAGCACGGCTGTGTAGTAATGATTCATGTGGTCGTGAACCTCTTTGGTTCAAAAAAATATAACAAGTGTAGTACTATGGCCTAGAAGGTAGTGCTTGTGTGGACGATGTGAGTATGAATCTGACTCATTCCTGATCCCATCTCTTTTACTTGGTAGAGATTTATTTTATTTTATTTTATATTATTTTATGTACATTTTATTTTATATTTATATAATTTATGTGTGAATTAATTACTATGAATTTAGTTGTCATTTGTCATTACATCAAAGTCAGTTTATGATGTTGTAAATAAGCTGAACTGTATGTTTTGTTGAAATATGTTCTATACAAGTAAGGAGTAACTAGCTATGAATATTTGTGTACTGGTTATATTGTAACAATCAGTCACATCATTGTTCGACTTTCAAGTCGAATGATTGGTTAGCAGATCTACACTACCATTCAAAAGTTTGGGATCAGATCTTTATTTTTTAAAGAATTTAATTCTTTAATTTAGCAATTTAATTTAATTTAAATTGATCAAAAGTGACAATAAAGACATTTATAATGATTTCTAAAGATGCTGTTCTTTTGTTTTTCATCAAAGAATACTGAAAAAAATTATCACCGTTTTCACAAAAATATTAAGCTGCTCAACTGTTTTCAACATGGGTAATAATAAGAAATGTTTCTTGAGCAGCAAATCAGCATATTAGAATGATTTCTGAAGGATCATGTGACACTGAAGACTGGAGCAATGACATGAATAAATTACATTTTAAATATATATTAAAATAGAAAAGTGTTATTTTAAATTGTAATCATATTTCACAATGTTACAGTTTTTACTCTATTTTTTGGGCAAATAATGCAGCCTTGGTTAGCTTAAGTGACTTCTTTCAAAAACACTGAAAAATCTTACCAACCCCAGACTTTTGAGTAGTAGTGTACCAAAATCATTTCAGTTAAATAGTATGATATATAATTTCCCTAATGACTTCTTTACTGTAAATCTATTTGTTAGAGGAATTTATTGTTTAGGGATAATGTTGTCACGATGCCAAAATTTTGATTTCGATACGATACCTGACTAAAATATCTCGATACTACTACTCTTGAATCAATACCAAGACAAAAACATAAACCAACAGGAAAAGTAATTGAATAAGCTAAAAGGATAAGAGAGCATGAGCTAGGGGTGGGAAATATGACCAAAATCTTATTTCATGATTGGAGTTTTTTTTTTACAATAACAATTTCTATCATGATAATAGTCATTATAGACTATATATATATATATATATAGAGAGAGAGAGAGAGAGAGTCTATAATGTCTACTATATATATATATATATATATATATATATATATAGTCTACTAGTATATATATACTGCACTGAGTTCTTTGTCAAATTTTACTTGTAAGTTTTATAAGTACCGGTACCAGAAATCCAGCTTTTGGGGTGAATCAGTGTCATGTAAAATGTCACACACTTGTATCATGTGAAACTGTCCCAGTGACCTCAATGTCACACATGCCATGCATTTTCACCCTGCACCAGTTATGGGCCACATGTCATACACGCTCACCCTATAGGCAGAGCAAAAGGCTGTTTTTTTATAGTTGCCGGTTAGAATACGCAAACAGCTGCTGTGTTCATTCTGTCAACAGCAGCCACAATAGCAGACACACACCATCTCTATCAGAACCACAGGTTAGGTTTGCCTTCGAGGCGATGTGTTTGTTCTCAAGTTGGACTTTGCATACCCATGCATGCCTGTTTGTCTTGAGAGAGGTTTTAGATGTGTAACCTGAGCTCCAGGTCGCCACACATACACATGGCGTGTACAGTTCTCCAGTGGGGTTAAGACAATTACTTAGAGGTCAGATGTCAAAGGCTGGTAGAGGATGGTGATTTATGCTAAAAGTCATATGGCTCAAATAAAGAGAGGGTGACCCGATTAAAGGATCATGGTTGAACAGATACACAGTGTCCAACAGAACTGGGGTGGTCTTTTTTGTACAGAGACATGGCATGTCGTGACTCCTGACTGGGAATAAGCTTTTCCATATACATATATAAAGTTTGGAGTCAGTGTAATTTTTTTAATGTTTTTAAAAGAAATCTCTTTGCTCACCAAGGCTCCAGCAAGGCTGGAGAAGTTTTGACATGCACTGACATTTTTTCAGTATCTTAAAAACATATTAATGGCTAAAGACTGATTACACTGTATTCAGCACAAACTGTGCTACAAGAATATGTAAGCTGTACATGTTTGTATTTCTGAGCAAATAAGGTTTGCTGAAAATAAGGTTGGTGTGGTTAGTGAAAAATCATTCTGCCCTCTCATTCACACACAAAAAAAAAATTTGATTTAACTTTTGTAAGACATGTTTTGTGTTAGAAAGGCCGTATGTGAGGGAGTGACAATGGCCATGAATATATTTATGTGATAGGCACCTGAAAGACAAAGGGTCCTCCCCTAATGGCCCATCAGAGTGACTGTGACTGTGAGGCAGGTAAGAAAGAATGTGAGAAGATTAAAACAATGGGGTTTTTGATTATTTGTATTTTATTTACAACACAGTATAATCAAAATGTACATAATGAAGGTCAAAGACACATTATTGAGCACACTGATCTAAACACAGAGACTTGAACAGTCACACACCTTTGTGCCATTCCTGAAACAGATCCTGTTCAACTGTTGAAACAAGTAAACCAAACCATACCTGGTATTTCCAAAGTGTTTGCTGCTTCTTTCCATGGATTCAATAAAAAACAGCTCCATCATCGGTAGTCATGGAGCTTATTTTACCATTTTGACGTAGAATATCAGCCCAGTGTAGTTGAACATCTGATGTTGGTACAGCACTCTCAGAGAAAAACAGTTTGAAGTGAAGTCTTCAAGGTATCTGGTCACCAAAAAAAAAACATCTGTTAGCATGGTGATATCAGGAGCAACTATATTATTACATTAGCAATCACAAATATTGCCTACTCATAACTACCAAAAAAACTTGATTTTGTAGTCACAAACAATAATGCTTTGTATGTATTATCATACAATATAAACAGAACATTTTATATCTGAGAAAATACATTTAACAAAACAGATATTCGCGGACAGAGTATTTCACAGTAAACATTGGTCTAAACCAGTGGTTCCCAACCCTGGTCCTGGAGACACCACAACACTGCACATTTTGCATGTCTCCTTTCTCTGACACACCAGTTTCAGGTCTTGGAGTCTCTACTAATGAGCTGATGATCTGAATCAGGTGTGTTTGATTAAGGAGACATGCAAAACGTGCAGTGTTGGGGTGCCTCCAGGACCAGGGTTGGGAACCACTGGTCTAAACCAGGGCTCCTCAAATCTGGCCCACGAGATCCACTTCCCTGCAGAGTTTAGCTCTAACCCTTATCAAACACACCTGAGCATGCTAATCAATGTCTTCAGGATCATTAGAAATCACAGGTAGGTGAGTTTGAGCAGGGTTCAAGCTCATTGGTCCTCCAGTGCAAGATTTGAGGAACCCTGGTCTAAACATTCTTAACACGCTAACATTCATAGTGTTACAGTCTAAACAGTCGTATTTCTTTTACATAGTATTGTTTTATATTTTACAGAACATTAAAAAACATCCTTGCGTTGTACGATATTCAGATGTAACGAATGGAAACATTTCAGAATGTTTCACTTGATTTCATGCATTTTAGTCAGGAATTATAGTTTGGGAAAAACTAGTAAAATGTGTACAAGTTATGTCACAATAACTATTGCAAGTAATAAAAAAAATAGCTTGTTAGAAATGCTATCCTCCAATTTAAGTTCTTTTCGGCGTTATCAGGAAAAAATGCCACTGAACACACGGGCACGTTTGCCGACCTCAAAGGGTTAAAAATACAGTAAAAGCAGGAATATAGCATCGAATCTTCGACTATTCGGGGTCACCCCTAGCGTCTTCTATTCATAATTTTGCTTTCTCCAGTGAAAATTCATCTAGTCTGAATGAGGAGAGAAATATGCACAGATCAAGCACTGTTTATAAGCAAAAACAGCCCAAAACAGTTATAAACAAATATGTCGGTGGATTTTGATGTGAGAGGACAAGGGGATGAACTTTTTCACTGGAGGAACCGTTATTATGGATTAAGGACTGGTATTTTGGCCAGAAGCAATGGTTTTAAGTTAAAACACTGGTAAATGATATAATGTACAGTATGTGGAAAATAATGTGTTTTTTTAACTTTAAACAGCATAAACACATTTCATTACACCAAATACACAAAATAATGTTCTTTTTAGCAGCATCATATGACCCCTTTAATTGATCAACTGGAATCATGTGAAGCACTTGTGGATTATTGTGATATTTTTATCGGCTGATTGGACTCTCATTCTGATGGCACCCATTCACTGCAGAGTATCCATTGGTGAGCTAATGATATACAGTAATGCTGAATTTGATGAAATAATGAAAAAATAAACTCATCTACATTTTGGATGGCCTGAGGATGAGTACATCTTATGCAAATTTTCAGGTTTGGATGAACTATTCCTTTAATTAATAGAAAGTTCAAAAGAACAGCATTTATTTGAAATAGAAATCATTTTAAACATTTTAAATGTCCCTTTTGATCAATTTAATATATCCTTGCTTAATAAAAGAAATCTTATCGACTCTAAACTTTTGAACAAAATTGTATGAGGAGAGAAAGCAATGAGAAAGCGAAACAAATCTGAGCGCACTGTGACTGACCCTGTGACAGCAACACTCTTTGTGTGTAAATGTCGGATGGCACACGCAGTCTGTATTTGCTTAACAAACACCAGGCCACTTAGGTTATGTCACCACTTTGGTGGCGGATTCTGAAGTTATGTAATAGTATTCCCAACCTTCGGACTCTATATGAAAGCGACGAGCAGTGGTGCAAACATTACCCTTTGTCTGGGTGTGTTCTTCAGTGAATGTTTGTGTACGAATATTTGTGTCTCACTGGAGAGGCAGGTGTACACACAACCTGTCCTTTAGCAGTAAGGTATTGCTCTCTATTACCCTGTGTTTGCACATTCATTTTAATGATTTGCTTTAAACTAGCCTTGAACTGCAGCAGCAACATTCATGAAAAAATACAGTTGGCCTCAATGTCATTTTAATGCAATTGTGCATTTCCTTATTTGTGTGTGTGTGTGTGTGTGTGTGTATATATATACATATATATATATATATATAGTCAAACCAAAAATTATTCAGACACCAGATATAATTTTTTATATTTTTTTACTAGTGGGTGCAGGACACTATAGTTCATTTATGTAAGTGAGGATAGCAAAATAAAGTAAACTGTGGCATATTATACCCAAAAATTCTTCATATAGTGGACTATCAGTAAAATTTATAAAAATTTAGGCCAAAAATTATTCAGACACTTTGAACTGACCATGTTTTGCTTAAGTGTTATCAGACATTATCAAGATTAATTTGTTCTGACACAGTTTAACTCATATTTTATTACCATTTTCCAAACTATAGCGAATAAACTGTGATAATGTGTGAAATGTTGGAGGTGACTGAATAAATTTTGGTTTTACTGTATATACCTGTTTATATAAAACCAAGAAGTATAAATCTGTTTTTAACATTCATTTTTTTTTTAAATTATTTTTAAGATAATTTTTATAAATGAAAATGTATAATTAATATATTATTTGAAATATTATTACCATTATTTTTTTTGCAGCAGTACAGTCGCAAAGTGAAGCATTTTTTTTTTCACATTATAGCTATTTTAGTGTGTATTTTAGTACAACTGGAATAATTGTTATTTGTACGTTTTAAATCTTCTTTCTATAAGGTCGGAATAGTATTTTAGTTTAGTTTTCACAGCAGTTCTGTGTTTATGATCTCCCAATTTGCATGATCTGCCCATCATTTGCATATGGCAAAATTACTCCTTTCATTTGACATCCTCTTGTTATATTCTCTATATTTAAATGAATACATGATTAACTATAGTAGCTTACAAAGAGCTGCCCACAGCCAACACGCACACACTTATCTGTTGGCAGAACACACATTGCTAACACACAGACGTTCATACTCAGCCGCTGAGAAGCAGCAGTAAAATAGCTGGGTTGTGACCCACGCCTCCGTACAAATACAGCAGCAAAGCAAAGCAGTCTGCAGTTTCTGGCAGGTTGCGTAACAGGTCATGTGGCTGCTGGCACCTATCATCACCACACCCCAGCAGCTGTGAATCCTGCTGGCACGCACAAGAAACGGAGGAAGCTAGAGTAGCGTTTGGAGGATCAATTTAACGATCCTTATTTGAATAACATTTATTTGTTAGATTCATACCATTAGATGTGAATGTCAGAATGAATGTCTTGATGTATTTTACAGTTTTTTACTACATTCATGGGCTTTGTTTTAATTGGCATGCTTAGCATTTCATATTATTAAAAAATTGTTTATCCAAAAATCATTTTAGGTCCAAATCTCATGACTTTTTCTTCTGTGTAATAGAAAAAGGATAATATTTGAAGAATGAGTTTGTTTGTGCTTGTTTTCCGCCTTGCAATTATAAAGAGCTTTAAAGCTTCAAAAAGGTCACACAAGCACCATAAAAGTATGATAAAACTACTCGATATGACTCATGCATTATACTCCAAGTCTTTTGAATTCTTAATCCACCTTTATGTGAGGAACAAACTGAAATGTGTTAACTTTGCAGATCGTAGTCGCATTCTCCTTATTTTTATGATTCATGTTGTTGCTACTGCTTATTGAAAGTGTTGTGAATTGCTTTTATGACTCACTCTCTGTCTTTCTTTTCCTCACGTCACCAACCCAGGAGGGCACATTTACGACTGTGTTTGGAACGCTTGAAATCCCTCGTGCCCTTAGGACCAGACTCAAACAGGCACACAACCCTCAGCCTACTTATGAGGGCTAAGGATCACATCAAGGTATGTGCCAACATCCCATTGGTGGGTAATATTGTTTGGTGGCATGAAAACATTAGAAGATTCTCAGAAGACCAAAATGCAGTGATCTGATATTAAAGCAGTAAGTCACAAGAGGTAGTTACTGTGATTTTACCACAGTTAAATGGTGTTGTTAGGCACCACTTATTTTATAGCGGCTTTGAATGTGGTGCATCCAATCAGATTGTAGAAGCAGCACTATGCATTTTCTAATAAGACTTTAAACATGTCTGTGTCTTTGCAGAGGTTGGAGGATAGCGAGAGAAAGGCCCAGCACACTATAGACCAGCTGCAAAGAGAACGAAGGCACCTGCACAGACGCCTGGAGCAGCTGGGTGTGGAGCGCACTCGCATGGACAGCATGGGCTCCACCATCTCTTCAGACAAATCTGACTCCGACCAAGGTATATAAGTCTTGTATAAAAGTCTTAGAAACATCTAAAAGTAACAGATAACACACGGTTTAGCATGTGTGCTCCATAACTCAGAGCCATGGAAGTAAAACAGGTCATATGTTTCAAACTGAAGACAGTTCCCACATTTCTCTCCACTGTTTGTATTAATGAAACTGACAAAAACATATTTGTAGTGGAGCCAGATGCATACATTAATTAATGGGTTTTGGTAGCTTAATGGTTAACAATTTGGGCTGGTAAACATTTAATCCCAGAGTAGCCTATGAATTAGGGCTGTGCGATATGGACAAAAAAAATCTTGATCAAGATTTCTTTGATCAATTTTGCGATTTCGATTTTAATCACGGTTTTGACACAGACAGACATGCTTTACAGTCATAAATGCATTCAGTGTGAATTTGAAACATATTTCCAAAAGAAAACCAATTAGAGTTTTATCAAAAAGCTGTAACATGTCTCTAGAACAGACATAAGGCAAAATAATCACTAAGTAAAGGTTTTTGCGCAGCTCGTCAGTGAACAACGGCTCTGTGTAGTTAATGCTGCTCAATGTGAAAGCACGCACGTGATGGAGATTTACCGCTGATTACAGAACCGGCTTTCTGACAAGATGCGCGTTAAATATCGCATGCGATTTATCGTGCAGCCCTATTCAGATAGCATACTGCGGGAGGTCGGGGGTGCGGAAAATCGTGCTATAAAGCGATTTAGAAATCGCGCACGCTCAAATCGCAATTTTATGACGATTTCGATTAATCGCACAGCCCTACTATGAATTTGATTTGTTAATCTGTAGTTTGGACCAAAGATTAAATCCAAGTGTAAAAACTGCCTTTAAAATACTTCTAGATGTAGGTACCACTACCATATTCTACCTAGAAGATTTATTTTTGAGAGGATTTAACTTCGCATGAGAGCTCACATGACGTTCTAGGCCTAATTATAGTTACATGTGTGAACGTTTGTGTAAATAAAAACAGTTCTAAATAGAAAAAATAAGTAGATATTGCTTGGAGCATTTTTAAATGCATCATTGCATTAAACATTAGATATAAAACTGTAATTTAAAGCATTTTGACAAATTTTTCCCCATGATTTACATCTTTGTAGTAGTCAGCCAATATAGGATTTTAGTGGCCAGAGCCAATAATCTCAGAATGGCTAAATACCAGCCAACTAAATGGTCTAGTCATTATATTAGTTTATCCGGGCACTTTTTATGACAGATGTGGATTGCCTGAGCTTGATTAAAAAAGTAGCAATTGCAAATCATAACATTCCATAAGGCCTCTCTCATCTTTTTAAGTGGGAGAACTTGCACAATTGGTGGCTGACTAAATACTTTTTTGCCCCACTGTATATGAACTAGCTGTTTTAAATATTTTTAGGTCAAATTAAGTCAAACAAATGTGGATGGATGTGAACTTTTGCAACATGTCGAAACATGATAGTCCTTTATTTTAATAATTTAAATAGTTAGCTAACTTAAAATGACACAAAACACGTCTCTGGACTTGTTTTTATGCATTTATGTCACGTTGGCATACGTGCATTATTTAACTTGAACACAAGAAGGTCTAATATGTAAGATCCATTTGTGAGGCTTCTAAGAACTCTTTAAAAATACCCAGAAGCCCTTGCTTCTAAAAGGTTTTTTTAGTGGAAATGCTTCTACCTAGAACCGGTTGTCATTTACAGAACTGTACACTGCCATGTACTGTCACACACAAGATTCAGGTTCACTTGCAGCATTAGATTAGAACGGCGATTAACTTATCTGTACAATAAGCTGTTTAAAACGTGCATTCTCCCGTTCAATTTCGAGCATCCCGTAATATAATCACACGTCTTGTGGAGCACTTTCAGAGTATGCATTTATTTGTCATTTGAACTGTTTGGAAACGGAGCGTAAATGTGGAAGTCCTTCAAAGATTTCTTATCCTGTTGCGCCCTCTATAGGACCAGCGACTAGTCGATGTCAAGCTTAAAGCGTCATGGCAGAGCATTGAAGTCGATTAGTCGGTGCAACCCCTAGCAGACACACAGTGGAGGTTTGATGATCATACAGGAAGTCTGCATGATTTTTCCCAGAACTGACACAAGTAATTGTCTTGAGGAATTTATTTTGTATATGCTGTGGCCTGTCCTACAAACAGATGGCACGTAGACAGACTGTAGCATGCAGCACCATGATGAATGCTTTAACACCTAAATTGGAATGTTGCCATGGAGATAATGGGCCAGATTGACTAAACGTAGCACTCTTCAAAATGCACATGAAAATGCTATAACCTTAATAACAATCGACCGAAAACAATTTTTTAAATGAAATTACAGCTCGCACCATGCCGTTTCCACACAATTTTAAATGATGTGCATGTGAATAGATTTTTTAATATTAAAGAAACAAATGCAACATAAAGTTGGGTGACTGTACTATGCGTATGTAACAAAAGACAAGGATTATCCAGGAAAGTTTGACAAATGATGTTAATATAGATGACAGGCAAGCAGAATGACACATCAGAACAAAAGCAGCTTGCTCTTTATAATCAACAAAGCTAACTTTTTAGTGTACACTGTTGATGGCTTCATTGATTAGAACGTGATCAGTCTTGTTTGTCATGTCGCACCACTTGATTGCAGTGTATACACACTGTCAGACATCTGTGTTAACATCATCCGTCAAACCTTTGTAGTTTCGGTGGTTTGCAAATGTCTTGTTTTTACCTTTACATCTAGTCTAGAGCTGCATAACAATTATTGTGATAATTGATCAACCTATTGGTCATTTCTTGATTAATTGAATAAAAATTTCATTTTCTGTATTTTATTTTTAAAAATCATCCAATAAATCACTAAATTATATAAAAAAAACTGGTTAATGTTTATTATTCAAGTGTAAATAATATATTATAAGTTTATTATTGTTTAATATTTAAGTGGAAATAATATAATATAAATATATTATATTATAAAATGTTAACATCAAATAATCTTCTGCTAGGATTTCAACACCTTTGTAAATGTTTTCCACATAAATGTATTTTTTCCGCTGTAGTATGGTGATGTCACTGATAGCACTTTTTTGTACACGGTGCATAGACTCAGCTTACTGATAATGAAATTTGTTGATTAATCTCATAATTTTTTTTATAGTTTTTCATAATTTTTCAGTTTTGAGATGCACTGCAGCCATAGGAAGGATAAAGAGGGAATATCTGCCAAACAATCCTAAGGATATAATATATACACTTTTATAATACAATATGATCATATAAATTGTTAAAATAAAATGTTCATGTTTGTAAATGGTATTTTTACACTATTATATAGCGACGTCACAACAATTGATAATGAAATCTGTAAATTACTTTCATTATCAATGATTCTCGATGCTGTCAGTATGTTGTTGCTGCCCTACTTTAGTTGTTTGGCGGATACTTTTTACCCCAACGTGATTTACTTTGCATTCACAATATACCATCATATTAGGGCTGTTAATTAAAATATCTAATCGCAATTAATCATAATTTTTCACAGTTTTCATCATTTTTAGTTTTCACTTTGATGCTCTACACACATTGGAATGATAAAGAGGAAGCATCCACCAAACAACCCTAACATTTTTTTTCCTTGTGTTTGCTTTACAGAAGATGTGGATGTTGACGTGGAAGGAACAGACTATCTGCTGGGAGATCTGGAATGGACCACCAGCAGCGTAAGTGACTCGGACGAGCAGGGAAGCTTGCGCAGTAGCTGCAGCGATGAAGGCTATTCCAGTGCCAGTCTCCGTCGCCTCGCCAACCCTCAGGAGAAGAGCCCAGTGCTGGGCTGCAGTCTATAAGAGCACAGATCACCCCGGGTTCCTCAGCCACTCATCTCCCACCACTTCAACCTGTACCTCCAATCACCTTCAGCCAGGTCCTCCTCTAATACTTGAACGGTGTTGTCTCCTTTGTGACCCAAACGGTCTTTCTCTTGCTCTGACGAATCCAGTCAAGAGGAGGAAGCACGAAGAAAGTATTGGACTTTGGATGTGCCGTCCACCAACCAGACCTCATGTATGCAGCACTAACTGGGAGAAAAGGCCAACCAAGGCTCCGCCCTCTCAAGGCTGACCTTCTTCACCAATCCCCTCGCCTTCGTCCAATCAGATCTTCCCATCCATTTGCCTTCACTCCCATCCCACCATCCTGGAGAGAGGCACTCGATTTGAGACATTCCCATTCCCGAAAGACCCTCAAGAGAACCTTAAAGACCTCACAGCCAGATGAAGAATGTGTACCATACCACACCCACTGCCTAGTCACTCCCGAACTCTGGGACAATCGCACCCAGGCTGTCTTACGCAGCCCTTTACGTTCCTTCAATCAAAACTGTACCGTCCAGACACAGGGCTGGGTCACCTGACCAGTTAGCTAACCTACCGGAGCATGGTATATTTTGCACTTAGATGACGACATCCGTAGGAGTGGCCTTTTTACACTCGTCCAGCGCCAGTTTTGCCTCATCCTGCGTAATAACCGAGGACGGATTTGGGAAGCTGCGAGATCAGAGCAAAAGGGCTACTTCTACCGTACGGGCAAAGATCACTTTGTGTCAAAAGATGTGCTGTCATGTCGTTTCGTTTTCTAAAACGTCTCTCCGAAGGGACTGCAGCTAATTTAGTGATGTATCAGGCGTAGTGTGTTAGCTAGTCTTAAAAAATATCTACCTGCACTGTCTAATACCCGCACGCCCGACACTCCCGCGTGGGCAGAGAATACTGACGTGTTGTTGTTTCCTTTTTCTTTTTTTTTACCCAGCAAGCGCTCATAATACTCATGCTGTGCGAAATCATCAGGGCGGTAGCGATACACCCCTCAACTGGACTCACAGGTGGATTCCTGACATCCCAAGCAAGAGAACATTTCTATTATTTTTCTTTCTTTTTTTTTTTTTTACTTTAAATGCCCTTTATCTGCCACCTTGAATTTTACACTACTACATCCGTGGGGCGAAACAACTGAAGCGTTTGCAGCATGAGATTCTTCAAGGGTTTTTGTGGGTTGGGTTTATGAAACAGGGTGGGAAGGTTTGTGACGTCTGGATCTCAGGTATCTCTTCCTCTCTCTCTAAGGACAGTGGCGTTTTTGGTGTGTGTGATGCATTTTCTTCATGTTTGTCTGTTTTCTTTTCTCTCGACTGTTCAGCCCCAAGGGCGATTCTAGAAGCACATTCCATGGTAGAGCAGAGGTTTGTGTCATTGCATGGACTGCAGACGCTGACACAAAGGTCTGAGGCTTCAGATTACCTATTGTACGAGCGACAGACCTCTGCTCCTGTGCCATCAGGCTCATTTTAAGAGAGTGTGTGTGTGAGTGTGTGTGTGTGTGTGTGTGTGTGTGTGTGTGTGTGTGTGTGTGTGTTCGTCGGTGGCTGCAGCACTGCATTGCAGTTTCACTCCTGCTGCCCAGCTATTTACCATTTCAGCTAAATGTAGTCATGATATGTATATAGCTGACAGAAAAAGAGAGATATCTACCCTATATGTACGTATATGAATAAAGTATTTATATTTGATCACATTATATGTTAAAACATAGACTATAAATATATATGAGAATATATTTAATTAGTGATTGGCTTAGTTGCTTCGGTTCTCCTTATCGTTAGTTTCAATGTGTAGTTGATTTGCACTATATATAGACATGTATAAATATATATCCTATTTTACACATCCTAAAATCGTTCATTCTATATTTTTTCCTGCACAAAAATGAAAACATATTGACTAAAAAAAGTATAAAAATGTATGATAAACTGCATTAAAAAAAAATATGGTTGGGACGTATTTGTTAGCGTGTTGGTGGCACTGCGATTGTGGAAAGTGGGTAATCAGAGTAGCCTGTTATTATCGTGCCTGATCGGACTAGGGAGAAGCGTTTTTCTATAACACTAGTGAGGAAGGTGGGGTTTTTAAGAGCCTAGTGAAGGATCTGTATGTTTGAATGTACCGAAATCTACTGTTGCATCACAAACTAAGATCTTAAATTGTAGAATTTTTCATTTTTTAGAACTTCAGATGCACCAAAAACAAACTGGATTGTTCATTCTTAACATACGGAATGCTGCTGTTGGGTAGTTTTGAACATTTCAAAAAAAATGTATGAATAAAAAATGCGTATAAATTTTATGTGAATTGTAGCCATGAGAACATTAGAGCGCGGTGTATTTTTGGGGGGGGAGGGTGGTTTGTACTGTATATAAATATGATGGCAAAGCTGAATTTTCAGCAGCTATTACTCCAGTATTTAGTGTCACATGACCCTTCAGAAATTATTTTAATATGGTGATTTGGTGTTTATATAATATTTCCTATTATTATCAATGTCAAAAACAGTTTTATTTTTGTGGAAACAGTGGGAATTTTTTTTTTTTTTATTCATGGATGAATAGGAAGTTCAAAAGAACAGTATTTATTTGAAATAGAAATCTTTTGTAAATGTCTTTATTTTTTTACCATAGAATATTAAGTAACACTAGATTTATAAATGCTGTAAAAATGCTTACAAACTGAACCTTGTAAAGTTTTATACAAG